TCTGTCGTCGCAGCGCCGTAGCTAACAAGTTCAAAGGGGACGCGCGTCCACGTCTACCGCTGGCTGAACCACAACGCAGCCCGTGACAAGGCCACTGATGCTCAGTTACACAGTCTGCCCGTCATAGAGACGGACAAGAAGTGGACTAAGAAGATTCATCCCGGTAAGTCGGCCTGTAGCCGCCTGGGCGCAAACTGACCTCATCCGCCATCCCCTAGGCATCTCTACCTTTGGCGAAAACCCTCACCGCGTCGGTCCAGATCATCTTGAAAAACTCCTCAGCCATGCGCTCAAACACATACCTGTCGATCAAGTCCCGAATACCCCTCTCTTCTTACTTGCCACGGCGGGCATGCGCATTCTGCCCGAGTCACAGCGCAAAGAAATCCTCCAACAAGTTTGCCAATTTGCCCGAAGCACGACCCAGTTCCAGTTACCCGATTGCGATGTACATATCCAGGTTATACCAGGAGAGACCGAAGGCCTGTATGGTTGGATAGCAGCAAATTACCTGCTGGGTGGCTTTGACCAGCCAACACTTCATCAACACGGCAACGGCCACAGCACATATGGTTTCCTAGATATGGGAGGTGCATCTGCACAGATCGCTTTCGCGCCAAATGCCACCGAAGCCGAGAAGCACGCTGACGACCTGACCCTTTTACGACTACGAACATTGGATGGGACGCCGCTGGAGCACAAAGTCTTTGTTACCACATGGCTGGGTTTTGGTGTTAATCAAGCGCGCGAACGATATATAAAGGCACTGTTGGACTCCAGTACTGAAAAGGAACTCCCAGACCCTTGCCTGCCCGCAGGCCTTAAGCTGGAGGTCACGCACGAGGGCAAGTTCATTGACTCGGACTCGGACGATGATGACGATGATGAACCGAAATCAAAGGCGGCAGCAGAACTCGTAGGAACCGGAAAATTCCCGGAATGTTTGCGCCAAACCTATCCGTTGTTGGAGAAGGAAAACAAATGCACAAACTCGCCATGCCTGATTAACGGTCAACATGTACCCGCTATCGATTTCAAGGTCAATCACTTTGTAGGTGTTTCCGAATACTGGCACACGACCCACGAAATCTTCGAGCACGGACACAAGGACAAGGCCTATGATCTGACGACCTATCAAGAGCGCGTAAACCAATTTTGCAGTCAAGACTGGAAGAGTATTGAAAAAGGCATCAAGAAGGAGAAATGGGGTAAAAAGGTTGATCAAGACAAAGCACGTGAAGTCTGCTTCAAGGCATCTTGGATCATCAGTATGCTACACGACGGCATTGGCGTGCCTAGGGTCGGAATAGAGGGCCTAGACGACAGCCAAAATACCACCAAAGCCGTACTCGATAATGCCAAGGCAAAAGGGTTCACCGACCCTTTCCAGGCAGTCAACAAGATCAACGACATAGAACTCAGCTGGACACTTGGAAAAATGGTCCTCTACGCTTCTAGTGAGATCCCACCGCCTTCTGAGGAAGCACTTGCTGTGGGCTTTGGTTCCAACGCTCTCGGCATACCTGCAGACTTCCAGTATCCAGGTGGTACCCCCAAGGCGTACGAATCAGAGAGCAACTGGCATCGCCTCTTTGTCGAGCATCCTCAACAGATACCAGGCTTCTTTATCATGATTTTTATCATTGTTGTCATCTTTTGCTTGATTCTGGGTAAAGAGCGGAGGAGTGCGGTCAAACAGTCGATAAGCAGGATTTTCAAGAGCAAACAAGGCAAAGACCCCTTACACCGTCGCCGCGGCCGCAGTTTTCCAGCCAAATTCTTTGGTTTTGGCGGTTCGTCATCAGCGAACCAACAGCCGTACGAGCGTGTGGATTTGGAAGACGGTGAATTGGCCAATGAGTTTGAGCTTGAAGAAACTCACCTTGACTCGAGCGATAATGAACTCTCTGATTCTTCCGAGGAATCCAAACTAGGCCGGACCAGCGGATGGGCTACGCCACAAATCAAGACGGAACCCGTGAGTGCGCCGAGTTACTTTGGTAGCACGACTGGCGAACTGGCGAGGGATGGCATGGGTCTGGGTCTTGGCCTGCCAGGAGGTGCGTTTGAACTTAGCCGCACCGTCAGTCGTGAGAGAATCAAGAGTCGAACGAGTAGTCCTAAAAGGGCTAAGAGTACAATGAGTAAACTTGACGAGTAAAGGAAATGCTTCATGAAGACACATACATACTACTTGTACATAGCAAGAGGGTGGGGGATTTTATATTGTTTTATCCTCTCTTGTTCTTTTTCTTTTCATCCGGTTGGTTACATGATTGGGCTGGCTGGGCAATGTCTTTTGTGTTTTGCATCTCTGGGTTGCAAGGTTTCGGCGTTTTTTTTAAACACGAAGTAGATACATGTAGTTGGTTCACTATTTTGACAAGCAAGCGTATTTTGTTGTCTTATCCAACCACCTGTTCATTCTCTTTCGCTGTCTTTTCCTTTTCCATTTTCACACTGAATGTGAATATTCCTCTTGTATTAAATGTGTAGTATATGTGTCTATAACGAGCCGTACGTGTATGCTATATTCGCCACCATTAGCCCCTTTGCATGCACTCACAAGACATGGAAAAACTCTGCAAAGCCTTCTCGTTCAATCCTCGGTCGTTTGGCCTCCATTTCTTCTGATCCCTTCTCTCCATTGACCCCATTCTCGTCATTGTCTGACCATTTCCTCTTGCCGTCTTTCTCTTCCACCTTACTTGCTGCTTTCTCTTGGCCTTCTCTTCTCATCCAGAACCGGTGTCCCGGACTCCTCTCACATATTGACTCGCTCTCCTTGATCATCGCATCTGTAATCTCTCTCTCTTCCCTCTCTTTGGCACCCAGCTCGGGCTGAGCTACCACTAGATCTAGTGGCTCATTATTGAGCCGGAAAAACACCCTCTGAGCAAACTTCGTCTTGCTACGGTTCCTCGTCAATCTGTACCTCAGATTTGATGGATTGGTGAAAGGAAAGTAGCTACTGGAATTGTAGTCTTGTTTGTCTTCTACCTCTAACATCTGCCACCGCTCATCTTCAAGCAGCGTGACAAGCTCTGATTTTCCCCAATCTTCGTAAATGTCGTTGGGTACGTTTGCAGTAAGCTTCTTCAGATTTTTAAACTGTGAAGCATAGCGCATCCAAAAGCGACGCCAGCCAATCATTTCACGCTCCATGAGTGTTTTCTCTGCCGGTGTGGGGCGTTTTGCTGCACGAAGCCAGCCCGAGACACCTGGAACATCGGCAGGGTACTGAATAGTCAGCTCGTCTACCATGGAGGCGATAGGGGTAAGGCTAAAGACTGCCTGGGTCGGCAGAAGCACTTCGCGCCTCTCGGCACCCTCTCCGACAAAAGTCTTGAAGGGACCAAAGTACAAGCTACCATCCAGACCTGATGAGGGGCAAGTATTTCCACGATCACCAATCGAGATACGAATGGGTATGTCCAGACTTCTGAGTCGTGCCACCATTGTCTGTATGCGTGAGAGAATGTCAGGTTTGGGCAGAAAAGTGCGATTGGGCTCTAGGTTTGCAGGGAAGACATCGCACATCATGCTTTCCCAGGCAAGAACTGGCTTCCAGTCACACTCTCGCGCAAGCCATCGCAATGCCTCCTGCACTTCGGGCTTAGAGCTCGGATCGCTCATTGCAGGATCGTTGATTTGCTGGGGCGGCTGGCCAAAATGATTACGTCGCTGCATGACGTTGACGAGATGAAACGGATGCAAGGTTATGTTCCGGAGGTTCCGAATAGGTTTCATGTTGATGTTGGGGTATTTCTTGGATATGGTCTGCAGGCTCTGGAGTAAGTCTTCAAATGATGCCCCGACGCCTTGCACAACATGGTTGCCCAGGACCATATGATCGCGCTCGCACGCGTCAAATGTCTTGTCGTCAAAGGCTTCTTCCTCGTCACGATGGTGATGACCTTGGGTTATCCGATATGGAATTGGTCCGATGACGTCCCTGTCACGGCGGTCCTCCATCCAGGAATACAGGCCTATCTCGACATCTTTGATGCGCGACCATTTTGTCGCATCTGTGGAAAAGAGTGATCGATAGGGGGCGTAGTCGTGTACCCTGAGCTTTGTCATGGTTTCTGGGCAGTACTTTTGTACGCCGTCTACGAGACAGCAAACGCGTTGGTGAACCTCCCATTCATTCCATGTGCTGGGTCTAAGAGTTAGCGTGGATAAATGACGATATGACAACGCGACTTACTGGAAGCCCGAGTATCGCTCCCGTATCGCGAGCGTTTTGAGCCTCTTGCAAATGGGGAAGATGGCGTTGGCGACGGATCCGCCGTCTCGTCTCCGTGATATTCTGAAACTCTGCTTGAAGCGATAGTCCTGGTACGAGTAGCTGTATTCGATGCGAGAGTGTGCAGTGTAGTCTGCCCAGTTTGCTACCTCTAGCTCTTCCAAGCGTGCAAACAGACATGGGCAGGCGTCGGCCAACATCTTCCATGTCCAAGTCTCTTCAGGAGTCCAGACAAAGTCCTTGATGGCTGATATGTCAAGGCTGGTGAGGCAAGGCAGATTATCCTCTATCCACTTGAAGTCGTCGATGCTTGCCCAGTGAGACATTGCCAGCTTGTGGACATGGCGGCGGTTGGAGTCATTGATGCTGTCCATGAAGCTCATCCACCGGGTCCTGCCGATGCTCCTATACTTCCAGTCGCCCAGCCTGATGTCACGCACGTCGTTGAGTTGTATGGGGTATTTGTAGAGTAGTTGGTTCACGGTCACGCTGTTTGCCATGCCCTTGCACAGGCGCTTCAGACTCCACGCAGCGTCGCGATCCAAATAGTCCATGACACATTTGAAGATGTCGTCAGGCAGTTTTAGCAGCATGCTGCTCTGGCTCGCGGCAGCCTTGGGCATCGGCTGATTGAGCGGATCAAAGCCCGAAGGACTACACTCGCGACTCGGAATCAAGTCGAGCATCTCGGGCGAAAAGTAGTCGAAGTCGTGGAAGCTGAATAGATTCATCAAGTAACGCTCGTAGCTCATCAAGGACGTGTCAGAGGCAGAGAGAGGGGGGCCGGGGCGCGAACGGAGGCTGGGGCGTAGCAGGCGCTGTGAGCAGCCCGATTGGGAGGGTTATCACGAGAAGAGAAGGCACGAGAGCCGGCATGTGCAATGTAAACGTGGTGAAGCTCAGTGTGAATGCAAGGGTAAAGGCGAGGCTGAGGGTGAGGGTGAGGATGCGGGTTGGGCCTGTTGTCGGCCGGTTGTGGCACAGTGGCTGGTGGGTGAGAGAGCGACGGTGCACCCTGGTGGAGTTGCGGAGAGCGCTTCGGAGGTAAAGGCGGTGCCAAGACATGCCGCCGCTCTGACCGACGGCCGCTTCAAGCTTTGTTCGTCGCATCGGCATCGCAGCACCTCGCACCCAAACACACGCGCATTCGATCCCTGTCTGCCCTCTTCCCTCACCATGGCCGACGCCCAGGTCTTCGAAGAGACGTTCAACATCACGTCCATTAACAACGAGAAATATGATCGCGTCTCCCGCATCTATGGCACCTCGACCGACAGCCAAATCACCATGACCCTCGATATTAACCACGAGCTGTTCCCCGTAACGGTTGGTGAGAGCATCAGCCTGGTCCTAGCCACAACCCTCGCCCTCGACGGCAGCTCAAAGGGCGAGAACGACACAATGTGGAGAAACGTAGGCAAACAGGGCGTGGCGACGCTGGCAGATATGTATGACTATGTCTGCTACGGCAAAAACTACCGTATGGAAGGAGGCAACGGAGACACCATGTGAGCACTATCCAGGCAGCCCTGTCATGCTGGACTGGCTACTGACTGCATGTAGAAAATACTTTGCTAGTTTTGGCGGGCTTTTGCTGTACATGGAAGGACCCCACCGCAAGCTCAGCGGACTGAAGATTGACGACATCTACATGCTTGTGAAGCACTCATAGTTGGGCGCGTCATCGCGCATATGAGAGAATGACAAAGAAAGCATGGGCAGGCGTTTTGGTGGCATGTGGTATTGGTATCCTCTGGTTTAAAAGTTCGGCAAGGCGTCTGAATACCCTCTTGAAATAAAAGGACGCCTTCAGAGGCTCTCCTAGCTCTGGCGAGAAAATCCCAATGCTCTTTTTTATTTTCATAGTGTGGGGAATTCGAGTTTTCTGTGCAATCGGCTCACCAACTCGATGTAATCCCTCTCGTTCTCCGTCGTCAGGATGCCATGCCGCACGAGAAAGTCAAGCACGACCAGGGAACAGTTGGGTTTGAACTCTCCGTTTCTCATAGCCTCCTGCACTTCGTCTACGGTCCATAGGTAGAACTCCTCAACCTCATCGTCGCCGGGCTTCGGTATCGTATCTTCAGGAAGCTCAAGATCATAGACGTATTGAACTTCGGGCTGCATCAAGTTCGTCTCGCCGCCCGCTCTCTCGTCACGGACGTACCAGTACGTGACTGTGCCGCATGCCTTTGCATTCTTGCGCACCAGCTCTTCCGGCAGTGAAGCCTCTTCTGCGCATTCTCTGACCAGGCTCTCGAATGGACTCTCCCCTGACGCGATACCACCAGCCACGGCATTATCGAGCATGCCTCCATATGTCTGCTTCGTACGTGCCCTTCTCGGAGTCCAAATCTTGATTTCTCCACGTGTGCGTGTAAAGGCAGTGAGGTGTACACCGTATGTAATGACACCAAACAGGGGACTGGCACTTCTCTCTACGTTGAACAGCAACTCTTTGTTTTTACCATAGACAGCATACAGTTCCCCTCTCCACTTATCCAGCACCTTGAAATGACCGGTTTGGCGCAGTGCCAATAGTGTCGTCTCTATTGCTGCGGACCGTTCTTGTGCGTTTGAACCAACTGCGAGACATAGAATCCGCGCGTTATCATCAATCTCCCAGTTTGAGACGCCACGAAATACCTCAACAACTGAAGGTAGCATGTAACCGAGCCCATAGTTGTGGCCTGAGACGCGCAGTTGGTAGTACGTGTTGATGGAGGCGAGATAGGTTTCCAGGTTTACGTCGGGGTAAGGGAACCCGTCGCATTGGTTCACGAGATCAATGTTTGACAGCGACATGTTTGGTGTGGACGATAGGCCAGGTGGTGTGCGTGAGGGTATGGAAGGATGATTGCTGGCCGCAGGTACGCAGCAAGGTTACGTAGGGTCCTGGTGGGGGCGGGGTAGTACAGCATTGAGCAATGTGACCGTCAGCTCTTGCCCTGCCCTCAATTGTGAAAACATTTTAATGCCACTGTCATGTCTGTGATCGAAGCGGACATGTTCAACCGCACCATGTCCAACAACCATCGAGTTCAGTCTGAGCAGCGTGTGTTCTGGTCGTGATTAGTTGCTTTGAGCTAGCTACGTTGAAATGCACGGATTCTCCAGCGTACGCCGTAAAACCATGACACTCATTTCCCAACACCCACAGCAAGAATCAGCAGATTGCGTATACTATGAGCCACAGAACGGAGAATCAAGAACAGGAGGAGGTCAATGCGAGAGTGGTCTTCATAGTTCCGAAGAGCCACGTCAAGACAGTGAAATCTGCTCTTGAACGAGCGGGCCAGCTCGACCGGAGTAGCAAAATTATGCCCGAGCCGTGCGAAAATCATACAACACTCGTCGCGCACACTACTCTGAAACAAGGCGATGTAGTTCCAATTCGAGAAACACCGACCACGAAAGCATCTGGTATGCAAGGCGAAACGAGGTTGTCGCCATTTGAGTACGATTTTATTATGGGACAGAACGTTGAACTTCCTGTTGGGAAGGATGCGTTGATGCCAGTACAAGAGGATGTGTTCCAGCAACGGATGCGTATCCCGACGACCATCTTCTATCCTTCAATCAGTGGCGATGCAAACGCGCATCTCACTGAAGAAAGCAGTAATGAGTTCAAGTCCACAATATTACAGAACTTGGATCTGGAGTATCTTCACCACGACATTGAACTAGCGCATCATGCCGATGGAGCTAGTCCTCTCAGGTTCTCAGCCATGAAAAGCCCGATGCACAGAGCGTTGAAAGAAGCTCTGTCGACATTACAGGATTCGATGCTAGCTGACATGGACTTGTCGCCTGGAGTCCTTGTCTCCGCTTTCCCAGATGGGTACTCGATATACAAGCCCATGCTTCTGCTTCCACACAATGCTTTTGGATCCACAGAATGGCAGATACTTCTGTCTCAGCATGCCGTGGATTCAGAGTTACTAGCACCGGTCTGGCGGCACGTTGCAGCATCAGTTGGTGCAACACATGTAGCAATCAACTCACCTATCCCACCAAAGACAGACACCAACCCCAATATGGATTCGGGGGCAAGCCGGAACCAGGAGAACATTCTGCGCCGACCAGTCAATCTTGTACCGATACACGGTGAATTTGGACCCAGCCCTACGCCCCAGACTATCTCATGTCCCACTGCCAATGACTTTGAAGGAGCTTTGTGGGTTACGGCAAAACAAAACGGTATTTGGCAAGTCTGGGCACCTCTGTATACCATGTTTAGCCGTGGCAACATCCGCGAGAAGACTCGAATACTCAACCTTGCTGCAGTCACCACTGACTTGGACGAAGCCTCGGCAGCTGTGGATCTCTATGCAGGCATTGGCTATTTTGCCTTTTCATACAAGAAGAGTGGAGAGTATCGCCAAGACGGGATTCGCAGAGTACTGTGCTGGGAAATTAATCCATGGTCAGTTGAAGGTCTGCGACGAGGCGCAGAGAGGAATGGTTGGTCATGCAAGATCATCAAGGGAGACGACCTTTGTCAGTTAAGGCAGACTAGTGCAGAAGCCCCGAATAGGCTTGCGCTCAATGACACTGCTGGCATACAAAAAGCGGACTTTTGGGTGTTCCAGGCAAGCAATGAAGGAGCCAAGTCAGACTATACAGCGATGAGTACAAGCTTGGGCTTGGTTTGCCAGCTACCCATTCGGCATGTAAACCTAGGCTTACTGCCTACTTCGAGATTATCGTGGGGTATTGCAGTTGATATGCTAGATAGGCAACGCGGTGGATGGATCCACGTACACGAGAACATTGGGATCAGAGACGTCGAGTCGAGAAGCAAGGAGATTGAGAGAGAGATTGACAAGCTAGTCAAGCGCCGAAATGACAGGACAGGCAACATGGCTGTAAAGGTAGAGCATGTTGAGTGGGTTAAGATGTATGCGCCAGGCGTTGTACATTGTGTCTTGGATGTGCATGTCCAAGGAGTACTGTAGTTCTTTTTGAGCGCAATACTCGGCGCTTTTTTCCTTGCATCAGTCACTAGGTAGGCCTAATCGAGTTACTCTGAGCAAGCACGTGGTGTTAGCTGGTGGTGTGCAGACTTGTAGAGTAGTGGGAGAGAATATGTGTTGCACTAGTTGTAGACGAGATTTAGCAGCCAGCGGGCTAGTGGGGGGTTTTGCAGACACAAGGCTGTTGTTTGGATGGGTAGAGATCTTCGCCCCCTCCAAGGCGATTCTGCTGTTGGTGGACATGGCCGATATCGGGCAACAGATAGTGAGGCGCTCTTGACGTTTGCAAAGGCGGTTATGTATTGGCAGAAAGCTTCTGGGAGATGTTGCGGTGCTGGCGAGAAGCGCGGACCGAGCGGCTCCGAACAAATGTAACAAGGCTTCTTGTGTAAGTATGTACCTGTGGTTTCGGCGTGGATACACCGCCTGTTATTGCTGTCGCTTATATTTGTGTTGTCGTGGGAGCGGTAACTGGAATGTAGCGCCGCCCGCGCCGGGGCTTAGGGACAGAGTGGTTGTGTTGCACCGAGACTTTTTGGCAGCGCATGCATGAGAAGAGCCTAGGGTATCCTGGGAGATGAGCTACGGTAGGTGTGGACTGCTGGCTGGCGGCGGATGGGATACATTATGATCATGAGTGGCGGCACGGGTGGCGGTGGTAGTGGTGATGGTGCGAGTCCAAGTACGGGTGCTTTGTCATTATTATGGTCATTATCATCACCATTGTCAAGGGCGTGAGCATCCATCGGCGCGCATGTGTGTGGACATACGGGTGCCATGTATGTCGGTACGTGCAGGTCATGTGCAGGCAGCCTGTGCTGGTAGTATGTACCGTGGAGGAGGATGGAGGGTCGAAGTGCAGGTCGACTGCGCTGGAAAGACGCCCTCAGCCTCTCTGCCCTCTCACCGCCCTTCCATAACTAAGCAGCCAAACCCACCCTCTCCCCTCTCCGCACACACGCGACACGCTGCCTGAGCACGCATCCACCCACGGCCCCTCTCCAGGCTCCACCAACCTCTGTCTCCACGGCCTCGTGCTGCCCTGCCGCCTCACGAGCACCCGTGCACCCACTGCACACTGACACGCTGCATGCTGCACTCGTCAAACCGCCGCGTGTGACATCACCTTCACAGCCCTTCACCCCTCACCCCTCGTTCTTTACCTTTGCCTGTGCCTCCACCTTCACCCTCACCCTTACCCTCCCCCCTTCCACCAGGCCCCCCCCTCCCCAGCAGTCGACAGGGCGCTGCCATGGGTCTACGAGGCCGCCGTACTGCTCGAGCCCGCCACTTCGACGACGGCTCCCTCGCCCACTACTAAGGCCCCCGCCCACGCTCCCATGGCGGAATGCGCCCACTGCCAGCCATGATCGGACATCTTTTCAGCAGCCGCAAGGGTGCAAACGCGTCGCACGCCGCCTCGCCCACGGTCCTCGACTCAGCCACGGAAGAAAGCCACACGCGACACCTGCTGTATCCCGAGTCCAACACGCTCTACCACCCCGACGGCCAGCCCTATCCCCTACACGCCGCGCCCCTGACGCCCGGCAGCGGACATGACGGGCCTCTGCCCGAGATTGACCTCGACTACCCTCGCGACTGCCGCATCATCATTGCCCAGGATGAGACTCCGGCCATGCCCAAGGCCATCCTGTTCGACTCCAAGCCAGCCCCCCCACGCCCCGAACCGCCCACAAGTCCCAACCCACGTGCGCGAGCGTTTGGTGGAGCCAACTCCAGCACTGTCATCACCGCCAGCACCGCAGGCCCGGCATTGGGAAGTCTTCATGCCCGGAGATCGTCCCTTGTTACAGAGCCTACGGCACCACCACGCTCGCCCACGGTTGGGGGATTCACCCGCGTCCGAACCCGCGGCAGCTCCATATCCTCCATGCCAAACATTGACGAGCATGCCCAGCTCCAAGCCAAGGCGCAGGCCCGAGCCAAGGAGTCGACGGACCTGGCCAATATCTGTCTCGACTGCATGTTCGGCAATCTGGCCATGAACTACAGAGGCAACTCGAACAAAATACACATTGTACCTCTCGACACTAGGCCCGCCGACTCATCTGTCCTGGGCACGAGCATACAGGATGCTACCACCTCCTTGGGCCGCGCAGAAGGCCTCCGTCGCAGAAGCCATCTCGCCAAATCTTTTACCCCCGCCAACCCGCCAACCGATCTGGCACACAATGACTCCAACGAGAGCATACCAAAGGAGCCCAAGCGTAGGACCATTTTCATCACCCGTATGTTTTCCGTAACCATGCCAGAAGAGGATAACGACGATCGCACACCGACACCACAAAGTTCACTTCCAAAGGGCAACGGCTTTCCTTTTCCAGCATCAAATTCCAAACCGGCTGCCACCAAACCTGTCTATCCCTCACATACACGAAAGAGCCCCATGTATGCCATCACCATCATCCTCCACCTGCCAATATCGCAAACAATACCGAGCCTGAGACCGTCATCGCGCGGTACAAGCTTGAAGAATCCAACACATCTATCCACCTCTGCTCCCGGCCAGGAGTCGCTTGCCTCGTCCCTAGACTCGGATCGGCGTGCAGGATGGGCTTTTGCTGACGCCAACCTTGGTGTCGATTCACTCTTTTCATCTTCATTGAGCAGCGACGTCGACGATCGAGTCGATGTAGTGGGCCAGCACTGGGATGTCATCATGCGTGCACTTACAAGTCTCCAACACGTGGTTCAAGAGCGCATCTTGGCGCAGTTCAAGTCGCCAAAATCACCCGAGCCGATTACTCCAACAGGAGCCCAGCACCAACGGAGCCAGTCTTCGCGAACTAGTTTTCGCGAGTCATCTCTTCAGTACTCTCGGAGAGCCTTGAGGCTGCAACCTAATGCCCTGATGATGGATAGGGAAATCCAAATAGCAGCAGAGCTCACTGGCAATCGTGTGGTGAGCGGCATGAGGATTCCACGCGTCATGACTGGCCAAGGCAAATGGGGTGTGTGGCGTGAAGAGGCTAGATGGCTTGGTAGATGGGCAGGTCGTCGAGAACAGAATTTCTTCTTTTTCAACCTCTTGACGGCGTTTTTGGGTAACCACACTGAATGGCTGAACATGCTGGGTCCCAAATGGCATCGCAAGCGCCACCGCGAAAAGCAAAAGGCCACAGCTGGCGAGAACCTGACCATTTCTAACCGCACTGTTATTGTGTCTCCAGACAAGATGGCTGCCCGAAGACTAATATTTCTTCTCGCTGCCTTTCTGCCACCTAATGCACCTGCTTTAGCGGACAGTACCTACATCCGACCCAGCACTTCAACGTCGCTCCGAGCCTACTCTCAGTCGCCTCCAACTAATATGCCTCCTTCGAGGCAGCAATCCCTACGCCGCCAAATCAATCGCCGAGGACCCCGTAGCAAGCAAAGCATGTCAAATATCCTATTACAGCCACCAAGGCCCCAGAGCGTACATCAGATACCGGTGCAGTCAACACACGAGCGCTCGGAATCTGCTGTGATCGAGGCGCCTGAGCTTGTCCGACCAACAGGACACTCCCGGCGTTCGTCCGCACATTCGGTCCGCACGAGTCTAGTGATTCCTTCCTTGTCTGAAGGACCCGTGACATCAAGTAGCACAGTGACCACTTCAACAATCATACCCCAAGAGACAATCCCTATTGCTCACTTTACGTTTCCTAGGACGAAATCATTTGGCCCTGCCTCTGAAACACGACCAGAAAGCAGTGACAGTTTAGCCTCTTCGAACCTGATCAGTACCTTGCAAAGAAGTGGCACAGGACAAACCAGTCTTGCAAGTAATGATTCGAGCAACACAAGCCGATGGAGTGGCTTTATGAACTTCTGGAGTGGCCGGCGCTCGTCTTCTACCGACCAGAGTGAATTTTTTCAGACGACAGACGATGGTGTTGGATATCGGGGGCAGGAAAGGTCACGATCGCAGCTTGAGCTCATGGTACAAGAGCTCTCGATGGATCGTGTATTTGAAAGCGATGCTGCCGACTCTCCGCTTCCTCTTGACCCTTCCACTGATAATGTTTCTCCCGATACCTACTCTAACGTTGGCTGCCCTGGCGTTCCTGCTTCAGCTGCACGGCCTATCCCTGAGCGTCACAAGACTTTCGAGGGCCACTTGAAGCTCTCGGTCAATGAGAAAGACGGTGTTATTGATGTCGATATTCCGCTACCGGATTTCGATTCTCCACTCCAATCACCACTACTAGGGGGCTACGGATCAGCTTCTAGCCAACCGGGTTCTAGTTTTGGTGAGTCATCTGTTCTCTCAGTGCCACACGGTGAGCCGGAGCAGCCCGTGAATGTTGCTGGGTGGCTCAGCCAGTTCCACCCGGACTTTGCTGTCCAAGCCATCAAGCCTTACCGTGAGCTTGAACGTGATATCAAACGGGCAATGAGTGCAGAGCCCACACCCCTCAGTGCCATCACCACCCCTAGCCTGGAGTCTGGTCCGCTTGAGCGCTGGATCGATATATGCTCTGCACTTATCGCTGATACAAGCAACTTTTCCATCAAGCGCATAAGCCTGCGACGTTTGGTCAAACTCATTCCTACTCCCACATACCAACAGTCAGCCATGACACCGGGCGTGCTCCCGGGTCGCTCTCAATACGGAAACCCCTACACATCTGGCACTGTCGCGCCTATGATGACAGAAGTTCATCTTGCCGAGAAGTTTGTTACAGAAACCATCATGGATTTTGATGCCACCCTCATCGACGGCGTGGATCGTGTGCTTGCCCAGTCAGGAGAGGTGACGCGCGCCAATTCGGCTCAGTCGTCTCGTTCGAGTAGCAGACGAGGGCGCCGTGATACGAGAGGAGATTCTGACGCCATACCACACGTCGAGGTACCCCACATAGATTGTAAGAGCGTTCTTTTCGAAGCGCTGGAAGTCGTGGTGAAGGAGGTTACCGCTGAACGCGGTGGCAGACATGCGTCTAAAAGTAGCGACGACAAGAAGGCGACAACGACCAAGAGTGCCCTGCCAAGGACTGAGAATGATTCGTCGTTGAAGGAGGGCATCCGCCGATGGTTGACTGAGGTTGAGTAAAGCCTGGTGAGCTTCTTCTGCTGTGCACTCCGATATATGGACATTTTCTTTCTCTCTAACATGTATTATATTTCCGAGTTTGTGTTTTTGTTTTGTGTTCCACTTTGCTGCGTTTTAGCGAGTATTGGTCAGGCCCTCACTGGAGATGGCCTTTGTGCCGAGGAATCAAGCGGGTCATATGCTTGACATAGGCTTTCTTCTAAGCATTTTTTGGAGGGGGCTTGGTTGGGACTTTTCAATACCCAGGTCATCGTGAGATGCCCGTGCACAATTCAAGAGTAGTTGGCAATGGAATAAATGGATCGATCATGTTTGTCCATCCTCACGTTATGAGTTCCTGCTCTTTGTCGTCTGGTACGTCATGTGTATACGAGATCGATTTCTTATGATATCCAGGAAAATCATCATGTCTAGAACCTTACTTCCCCGCATCGCCAGCACGTGCTTATACACCCTAAGCTCTTTGTCATCCTCAAGGGTTAGTAAAGCTTGTGCAATGCTGAGTAACTCGCTCTCGGAACGCATGCCCCACCAAATCGGAATGCAATGACGCTATGACGTTCTCGCTGGTACAGACACAAAGCCTTCCATGACAGCTATATATAGTCTGGGTAGGTCCTCAGGGTAAAACAGGAAACTTGATTCTATGTCACTTTGTGCCTTGCGATTCCTGCGAGTACCCATATACCAGCTTCGTAGTACGCCACGTTTGCGCCATCTTTTTTTCCCGACACAATACATACGATCTTTCTCCGCGTTAGATAAGCCTACAGCCATGGACAAAGCTCCCGGACAAGAGAGCAAGGGATCAATCACAGATTGGGTATGCCCCCTATACTCACGTGTAAAGAAGTGTGCCAGAAGAACACCCTTTCTAACTCTAAGCAAAGGTCAAGCCTGGCGATAAGAGCGGCGAGTTCAAGCGTCAAACCTCTGTCTTCCGAAATTGGATTGAGAATAAACCCAACGCCGAATTCCCACCAGAAAAAGGCCGATATCATCTTTACGTCTCGTACGCATGTCCATGGGCCCATCGCACACTGATTGTGCGCCAATTGAAGGGCCTCGAAGATATTATTTCGTACAATAGCGTCCACTGGCACATGGCAGAAAAGGGATGGCGGTTTGCGTCATCCGATGAAAGAATTCCAGGAAACACTACGCCGGATCCATTGCACCAAGATTACACACATCTCCGAGACATCTACTTTGAGCAGAACCCAGACTATGAGGGGCGGTTCACGGTACCGACGCTTTACGACAAGAAGACGAACAAGATAGTGAGCAATGAGTCAGCAGAGATCATCAGGATGATGTACACAGCCTTTGACGACATCATCGAAGAAAAGTACAAGAAGGTTGATTTGTTCCCCAAAGATCTACAAAAGGACATTGAGGAGATGAATGAGTGGGTGTACAATGATGTCAACAATGGTGTTTACAAATCAGGATTCGCAACGTGGGTTTCTCCATTTGCTTGTCACTGTCTTCTTGTCTTGTTGTAGAAAAAAAGACATGCTAATCATGAGGGCAGAACTGAAGAAGCATACACAAAGGCTGTCACTCAACTGTTCAAGTCTCTAGACCGACTAGAAGAGTCACTCTCACAGTCGAAGACCCCATATCTTTTGTCAGCACCACACGTTACAGAAGCGGACGTTCGTCTTTTCACGACCATTATCCGCTTCGACCCAGTCTACGTACAGCATTTCAAATGCAACATCCGTGACATCCGCTCCGGATACCCGCACATTCACAAATGGCTGAGACATTTATACTGGGTAAGACGATTCTGGATTAAATAATTTTTGCTGTCGTGGTTGTTGAACTCGATGCTAATGCTGCCAACAGGACTACCCTGCCTTCAAAGACACGACGAATTTTGAGCACATCAAGAAGCATTACACAAAGAGCCACGGTCAAATCAACAAGTTCCAGATCACGCCTATTGGGCCTCTGCCTGATATCCTCAACAAGGAAGACGAGGTGCCGAGTGTGAAGGCTGCATTAGCGAAGTAAGCAGATATACACATGTATAGGCATGCAGACAATGTTTAAAGTGTCATGGTAGTGTATGCCGGTAGTTGAGAGTGTTTATCAAGAGTGTGCAAATTATCGGGTTTCCTTGGGTATCTAGTTTTGTGAAATTTCCAGACTTTTGCAGCAAATACATGTCAAACGCGCCGACCTGGTGGCTAGTACCATTCCCATCAGTCTATACACAAAGGATTACCTGGTTTTTGTGGAGAATGAAACAAAGAAAATGCAGCCCAATGCAAATCTTGGTAATGCGCCAGGTTCAAAGCAGAGCAGCACCAACACTGCCTAGCGTCTGCTTAGTGACATCATCTCTGACCTGTCCCACTTTCTTTGCAGAGTCCAAGATGGCGCCTTCGATGGCCTTGAGTGCTTCAACCAACTCGCGTCGCTGGTCGCGTGGAGCACTTCGGCTGCCCGTCAACTGCTGGGCCTTTTCTACCGTACCCGCCTCCATCGTGCGCAAATGGGCTTCAATCTCGCGGATTTGTCGCTGGTACACGTCGAGGGTGCGGCCAAGCTCGTCAGTTCGGCGGTCAAAATAGCTCATCAGATCCACGGGCTTTGTTGGATCATCGTCGTCGAGCGCACTAGTGGCTGGTGTCTTTGCACTCGAGGCCGTGAGATTACCGTTGTTGCGGTAATGAAATTGGGCGGGTAGTCGCTGATTTTCGATTGCGCGGAAGCTTAAAGTCGCATCTTCGGCGTCTTTCTTGACGAGGCTTTTCAGATGGGCAATGTTTGCCGAGTCGTTGTCGAGTCCCACTTCAACCGTGGAGAGAAAGGCCTCGATATAAGCTACATCAGGCGCGATGCTAGAGATGTCACGCTCATTGCCGGGGAGCGATTCGCGGATTTGGCTGCAGTAGTTGATCTTTCGCTGAACACCCTCGTCAAACTGCTGGATCAATGTTTGTAGCTCGGGGTGGAGGTCATTGAATCGTGTAGTTCCTCGTATTGAGTCGAGGGTCAACTGGACTGGTTGTGCGCTCGCGCCCATCTGCGCCCCCCCAAGTGTAGAGCCGCCAAGAGTGTTGGATCTGTTGGGGAAGTTCATGCCTCCACCCAAGGTGCTCTGTTGCTGTTGCTGGGGCTGCTGTTGTGTTGAGCCGAATAGTGAGGGGGTGGACGTTTGGTTCTGCTGGTTGGTGGTGTTGTTTCCAAACAAGGAGGGTGTGGTTGCCGGTTGAGTGGATGCGCCGCTGAGAGATCAGGTTAGCCTTTGAGCCACTGCAAAAGGTGGGGATGGCCTACAATAGCGAGGGCTTAGACTGTGCACCACCAAACAGACCGCTTGACTGAGTATTGCTCTGAGCCTGGTTCTGTGTATTTCCGCCCAGCGCGCCGCCAAACAGACCTCCGCTTTGGGGCTGTGACGGCTGCGCTGTAGACGCGCCAAAGAGTCCCGCACTTGCGGGCGCGGTGGTTGCAGGCTTGTTCAGATTGCCAAACAGCGAGCCGGACTGCTGGGGTTGCTGTGGTGTCTGCTGTGTGGATGCGTTGCTGCCACTGCTCCAGTTAGTCCAGGGCATGATATAGTGGTTTGATGGGAAGAGACTTACAAAAGGCCGCCGCCGCCACCGGTGTTGATGCTCAGTGAATTGGATCGTCCAAAGCCCGCCATGTCGTCTCAAGAAGGCCTGTTGTTGGTGCGGCGAGGGCAGGCGATGGATGGAGAAGGCAGTGTTTGGATGGGCGCGAGCAGGGGCAGCACAGACTCCACGGTGGTAAGGCGCGTCTCCTCCGCTCGGCTAGTCTACTGTAGTGTTAGTTGGCTGTGCTTTGAACGACAAGAAAGCCCCAGTGCGCTCTGCAATTGCACCCAGGTCAGTCTGGCGGCGACTACGAATCACGTGGACGCGCCTTTCCTTGCTTCAAATCCACTGCCACTCTCGACACGGCCGGGTAGGCGCGTATTGTCTGATCCAGAGGCGAGTATGGCAGACGAGTCCGACGATGACCTGTATGGGGACGAGACTGCGACGCAGCAGAGCAAGGACGCAAACAAAGCCGAAGACAATTCAAGCGGCGACGAGCCCATGGATGAGGAGTCGGGCGACGACGACGACGATGAAGACGACAGCGATTCCGTATGTTGCTTGCGGCACTGCGCCCACAGCTGCCGAGCAAAGCTGACAGAGCTCTAGGACATCGACATCATCATTGAGAAGGCGCCAGCACCAGCCAAACCTGCTGCGTAAGATCCCACTTGGCCCCCCACCTCGTCTTTCCTGCTAACCAAAGCCACTGAATAGCTCACAACAGCCCCAAGAATCCAAAGCCATAAAGATTGAGGCGCCGCCGCCTTCGACTACACCCTCACAGCAACCCCCTCCAAAAACCGGGCTTGCAACAGGCGGCACCATCCCCCAGATATCTGCCTCTGCCCTCTCAGGTACCGCCTTTCCTGCCCAACGTACCTCGACAATCGACGTCAATGGGAATCCCATATATCCACCTCAGGGAAAAGAGATTCTGTCTGTTGATATTGATGCCGACCTTGCAGAAGAGCACAAGATTTGGCGCCGGCCGGGCGAGGACCAGTCCGACTACTTCAACTACGGTTTCGACGAATTTACATGGGAGCTATACAGGCAGCGCCAGGTAGCCATGGCAAATACCATACAGGGCCAGAAGAACGATATGGCGCAGATGCAGGCCATGATGGGCGGTGGTCCTATGCCTGGCATGCCTGGCATGGGAGGCGCCCCACAGAGTAATGGAGGACCAGGCGGCGCGCCCCCGACTGGCCCTGGTGGTGGTGGAGGCGGTGGTGGTGGTGCTGGCGGCGGAGCCATGGGTCCTGGTGGGATGAATGAACAGCAAATGCAAATGATGATGCAAGAGATGATGGCACAGGGCATGGACCCGAGTCAGATGGACTTTGCGTCCTTCATGCAAATGGCTGGTCAGGGCATGGGAGGCTTCCCCACCGGACCTGGTGGGCAACAGGGCGGCGGATTCCAGCAAGGCCATCAAGGTGGTGGCGGGAGGGGTGGGCGAGGTGGGAGGGGAAGGGGCTGGTAACGGCAATCACGCAGTTCCATGTCCCTACTTGCCGGCAGCCGTCTTTTGTCTCGACTCCATGAGATCACCATCCTTGGCTTTGGCGTTCTGAGTGTACTACTACTGCTACTACGATACCATTGGGGTAAAGCCTTTTCCAGCGCGAAGCAATCTGTTTCAAGAATTACAGATCAGCCTACTTCCAAGTCATGCTTCAACGCCCTGTCTCGGCGACTTCACCCTAAACCATCCATATTATCCGGTAAATGATGTGCGCCAATACACACTCATCAGCACGCGCCAAATCCCACAATTCACGGCCTTGGATACAAGACTCTGACTTCCCTATTGCGCCCCTTTGCGTGTGCAACCCATCGACAATTGCAGTCCAAAGGCCTTTTTGGCCATGTACCTCGTTCTCCATGCTTGTGCAGCCTCTTAGCCAAGTACCATCTACGTCTCCATTGGGTCTCCACCCTCAAGAATGTACGCTGAAATCCGTCCTTCTGCAAAATCCTTCTCCAGCTGCGCCATCTCTGCCAGGCTGCTTGCGTTGAGAATAGCAGCCCGCATCCTCTTTCTTTCGTCGTCGGTGTAGATGCGTTCTTTGCTCGAGTCGGGCCCGTTTGCGAATGTAGGAACGACGAAACCTTTTGATTTGTTCCTCGAAATCTAGCCATATCAGTATGTAGCCCGTACTTGACATCATTCCAACACACCTGGTTCGCAAGTTCAGTCGGTTCGTCTGCACTTCCAAACAACTCCTGGGCCTTCCTCCGCTCAACATCGCGGACCTTAGTGAAGTCAAGGAACCTCACACTTGGGCAGCGCCAGATGATCCAATATCTGTAGTTCTACTGCGAGTCAGCGGTTGTATGCCCAAAGCACTTGGCGCTAGTGTGGGCACAGAAGCCGGGGAAGCATGAGTGCTGACGACTCACCTCTTTGCTAGTGACCGGGTTGCCCATAAGTGACAAGTATGTGAGAGACTTGAAGCCAGCCAAGGGATCGAGATCTGCCAGCTCTGCGATCCTGTTCTTGGTGAGAACTAGTGTGCGTAGGTTCGGTATGCTAGACGAGAGGCTTGGTTGGATGCTCGAAACTCGGTTTTGGGCGAGGAGCAGGGTGCGGAGGCGGGGCTGAAGAGGAAAGTTGCCAAGCTGACCAATGTCATTGTCGGTGAGGTCTATGGCGTCGTTGTCCTAGGTCATATGTTGGCATCTTCTTCTCGAGCCGTTATACTAACAAACGCGAGGTCAACTTACTCGCGCTGCGCCCATGTTTTCAATAGCAGATATCTTGTGACCTAGATGTAATGATTTTGATATCAACTCAGCTCCTAAGTGCAGTATCTGTTCCTTTCAACGCACCTCGTAGATCGAGTTCACGCTCCGTGAGACAGTTGATGAAGGATAGAGAGTTGTTGATCAGGTCTGTTGTTAACCTCATTTTGGCGTTTTGTGACTGCGTGAACTAAGTGTACAGTATCAAGGATGTGTATGGATTCGGGTTCAGAGTGTCGAGTGCTGATTTGCGCGGGGCTGCGAAAGCTGGTCGCGGAAATGGAGCTTCAATTGAAATTCATGGACCGCGCTAAGAGCTGCCACTAGCGCGCGGCGCCCACCTGATAGAAGCAATCACCAAGTCCCCTCTTCCATGTCCACTCCACTATAATCGACACGACAGCTAAATCAGGACTTACAACTCATGATCAGTACAGAATTTTGGGTGAAAAGTTTCATTATTCTGGTCAAGTGGTGGAATATTACACGTCTTCTCGTAATAACAAACGGCATTGCGGTTGAGGAGACCTATTTTTGAAGCACCAAGACTATTCCCAAAGCTGCAAGAGCGCCCATCACACCCACCACCAATACAGCTGCAGACAAAGGAACCAGTGCTGGACGTGTCGTATTTTGTGACATGGCCTGAATCTCCATATCCAAGCGCTCAGCCAGCTTCTCCTTGGAGAATTCTGCTATGACCCTATCTCTCCCACGTGCGCCCATCTCTTTCAGCCTCTGTTCGCCAGGGCCATCTTCCAAAGCGACACGCATGACCTCTGTCCAATCCTGCACCTTCCTAACATCCCTCAACCAACCGGTCTGTCCGCTCACGACTGTTTCTGTTGGCCCACCCTCATTCGCTGCCAGGACCGGTGTTTCGGCCAGCATGGCTTCGAGCGGCACAATGCCAAAATGCTCATGGAGAGGTGTGTATATAAGGAGACGTGCAGTTGCCAGAAGCGTAGACTTGAAACTGCTGGGGACCGAGTGAAGAAAGACGACTGCGATGTCGCCTGGTATACTTTGGGCGGTAATGACGGTTTTGGCGGTGGCATGGGTCAGTCGAAGAGAGTCAGCCAGTTTGCACAATTCGGTATACGTGGCGACGTTCTCAGGCACTCGGGAATCGTATCCGCCTGCAATGACCAGCCGCGCCTGCTCGCGCTCCATGGGCGACAGGCCTGCGAAAGCCCGGATGGCAAGTCCAACGTCCTTTTTCTTCTCAAAGCGGTTGATGCTCAGCAGAACCTTCTTTTCCTTCCACAGTGGCGCAACAAGATCCGCCGGCTGACCAGCATTGATATCGACACATGGGTATACGACGCTGGGCTCGCGGGTCTTAAGGCTGGGGAAAGCCTCGGCGAAAATGCTTTTTGTGAAGTGGCTATTGACGACAATGGTGTCGCTGCAACCAGTGGTCCAGCTCTCGAGCCAGTCAAAGGGCCTACGGTACAGTGTCTTCAGAAAGCCGCCCTTCTTGGCGAGCAGCTTGTCGGGGAAGTGGCAGTAGAAGATGATGCGCGGGTGTGGCAGCAGCAGCCGCAGCAGGGGAATTCCTGCGCTGAGCTGGTCGACGAAGAAGACGGACGGGGTGAGTTGCTGCAGCTTGTGGGACAGCAAGGCAATGTGCACAATCAAGTGCACCTGGCGCAAGATGGCGCAGAGAATCGCGCAGCGACCCCAGATGGCTGAGGGGAAGATGGTGTTGCCGTGCACTCGCACATCGAGGGTTCCTTTGCTTCAGGGTCAGGTCTCAGCTGCTTGGCCGTACATGAGCGGAGTATGGCCGACGGTTGTGTATGGAGGCTTACCATCGCGGGCCTCGTCGAAGCAGTGTTGCGGGTCGCAATGCGACGTGAAGATGGTGACCTTGTGGCCGCGGTTCTGCAGTCCGACGGCGGCGTCGATGACCAGCCGCTCAGCTCCGCCAATGCCTAGGTCTGGGTGGAAGAAGACAATGTGCTGCTTCTCCTCTGCCATGTTGCCGTGCGCATGTGTGCGTCGCTACTTACGTGGTGACTTGGGCGACTTGAGGGAGAAATGACCCGTCGGGGCGGCGGCGGTGGTGGTGGTGGCGCCTTCCCGCTTTGGTGGTAGTAGCAGTAGGAGTACCCAGGCCAGTGTCCCATGCTGCATATCATGTGCGACGCTCTTATCCGCCCTCTGCTGCTACAGCCCCGAGACAGATGTGCTCGTTCGCTCGCTCGCACTCCTCGATGTATTCTACTCGCTGGACTTCTCGCACACACAACTGCTGGTGAAGCGCCACTTCACCTCACCCACGCCTTCCAGCATGCTGCCGGTGCCCAAGGCAACAGCAGCACATCCGTAGTAATAGTATAGTACTACTAGTACCATCATCACCCTCACCACCCTCACCAATAACCCCATCAACTCCACCACAACTCCAGACCACCCCCCATCATGGGGCAGGGATTCTCCTTGTCGACGCTCTCGGCAGGCTCGGCCAACATCGATGTACCGGAGCTTGCAGACCTACAGTATGAGAAGTCGTTGGGTGCAGCCCGATTCATGAAAGCCGTCAGGGCACGCCATAAGGACGGCCTTGTCGTGGCTCGAGTAGTCCCAAAACCATACGCTCACATCGACTTTCAAGACCACGTCAAACGGCTGCTCCGTGAGTCGTCTCCGCAACTACCCGTCCATGGCCAAGCAAACTAACAAGGGTTCAGATGAGCGCAAAGTGCTTGCCGATGTGCCAAATGCACTGGCATATCACCGTGTCATCGAGACTGCATCTTGCGGCTATCTGGTTCGCCAATACATCCATAGCTCTTTGTACGATCGCCTAAGGTAACTTGTCTTCGAGCCATGACCTCCGCAGTTTGCTGACTCTTCCATGGCACACGACCTTTTTTAGAAGAAATTGAGAAGAAATGGCTCTCGTTCCAGCTTCTCTGCGCTGTAAGGGACTGTCATGCCAGAAACATCTTTCACGGCGACATCAAGACTGAAAACGTCCTGGTTACGTCTTGGAACTGGCTGTACCTCGCTGACTTTTCCTCGTCGTACAAACCAGCACATTTGCCAGAAGACAATCCAGCTGACTTCTCCTTCTACTTCGATCTCTCAGGTCGCCGGACTTGTTACCTGGCGCCCGAAAGATTCCTCGCTGCCGGACAGCAACCCGAGGGTGAAGGCGACGTCAACTGGGCCATGGATATTTTCAGCGTAGGCTGCGTCATTGCTGAACTGTTTCTTGAAGCACCCATATTCTCCCTCAGTCAGCTGTTCAAGTACCGACAAGGCGAATACAATCCTGAACACTCTCATCTCAGCAAGATCCAGGATCGGAACATACGCGAATTGACTCTGCACATGATTCAGATTGATCCTAATTCCAGGATGACTGCAGAGGATTACCTCACACACTGGAAAGGCAAGGTCTTTCCCACCTATTTCTATGGCTTCCTCCAACAATACATGTATTCCATTACCGATCCCTCTTCCGGCCGAAAACCTGTCACGACTGGCTCAGAACACCTTGGTGAGCCAGACGAACGTATAGACAGGATTTTCAGTGACTACGACAAAATCTCTCATCTGCTGTCAAGTGAGGAAGGAAAAGAGCCAGGCAGGCCCGAGTACTCACCCCCTGGGCCAAATACGAAACTTTTCCCACTCTTCGTGAATATCCCAAACTATCAACATCAGGCTTCACCAGAACGAAGCTTAGCTGTTGATGATGGCAACTTGATTTTTCTGACTATTGTCGTATCTTGCTTACGGGGTACTGCAAGAGCCTCAGCTCGTGTTCGAGGCTTGGAACTTCTCCTGGCCTTTTCAGAGCGGTTGACGGACGAAGCCAAGCTTGACCGTGTCATACCCTACGTAGCTCAACTGTTAGCCGACAAGTCTGAGCAGGTCAAAATTGCTGCGCTGCGCTCTCTGACCCAGATTCTTGCCATGGTACAGGTCGTCTCACCCATCAATGCTTACATTTTCCCCGAATATGTCCTTCCAAGGCTGGAAGCATATCTCCCAGATTCTTTTGGGAAATCCGGCTCCCTTGTGCGTATGCAGTATGCACTGTGCATCGGGACTCTGGCAACAACTGCAGCAAAGTACCTTGACATGATCCAAGCACTACGTGCCGAAGGTTCTCTAGCTACGGCTGATCCAGAAACCGAAGATGGCATGTCTTCATCTACGACTCGTAACCAGTTCGATTCAGATCGCCGAATCTTAATTGAGGCTTTTGAGAAGCACACCAAATCCCTTCTCACCGACACTAATGCTTCTGTACGTCGAGCCATGCTTCGGTCCGTCTCCGATCTCTGTGTCTTTTTCGGTAGTCCCCGAGCAAATGACGTAGTCCTCAGTCACCTGAACACCTATTTGAATGATCCGGATTGGATGCTCAAGTGCGCATTTTTCGAAAGCATCGTAGGCGTTGCTGTCTTTGTTGGAGGCGCCAGCCTAGAAGGCTATATCCTACCTCTGATGGTCCAGGCATTGACAGATCCTGAAGAGTTTGTGATAGAGAAAGTCATCAGGTCGCTGTCTTCGATGGCAGAGCTTGGTCTACTTCAGCGCTCTAAGACATGGGAGTTAGTGGATATATTGGCAAGGCTGACCATGCATCCAAACCTCTGGATTCGAGAAGCAGCAGCTGAATTCATCTCTGCTGCTTCAAGATATTTGTCGGTGGCTGATACGCATAGCATATTGGTTAATCTCATCAGGCCCTACCTCAAAGTCCTTCCTGCAGAGTTCTCAGAATTGCGCATTCTAGAATCTTTGAAGAGTCCAATGTCCCGTCTGCTACTGGAGATGGCTTCTAACTGGGCACAACAAGCTCAGAGAGGGCACTTCTGGCTGGCTGCTAGACATCAGCAAACATTTACTTTCGGGTCATCGGATGATAGTCTTCCAACCGTTTCAGGTCGGGAGCTTGACCAGAAGGTTTTACAGCGATTACCCAAAAATGAGGAGGATGAGCTGTGGTTACAAAAGCTTCGCAACGCGGGAATGAATGCTGACGAGGAGTTCAAATTGGTAGCACTTAAAGAGTTCATTTGGCGAATAAGTCATCGCCGGCGCTCTGAAAATCTTTCAACGCCTACGACAAAGTTCAACAGCATCGTGACGCTGAAAGATCTTGGCGTGAAGGCGCAGACCGTGCTGTTCGATGAGGATGTACGTCAGGTTATGGAGCACACTAAGAAGACGTATGCTCTAGAAGAGCAGCTGCCACCTCGCACAATCAAGGACGCCCTTTTGGATGCATCGACTACAGAGGCCGATGGGCTAAATGACCGGATGCCGCGTTTCGAAAGTCAAGCTGGGCGATTGGTCCGCGAAGAGAGAGGTATCACGATTCCTTCTCGGTCAAGAACACACCCAAATCTAAGCGATCAACATTCGCCATCTTCTGGATCTGAAATGCGAGCGAATTCACTAAAGGTTTCGAAAATATCCTCCTCACCCTCGGGTTCAGTCACATCTACAGATCCCTCGACCGGGCTTCGGCATCACAAAAGTGCATTAGGGCTTCTTGGAAAAGGAGAGAATAAGGCTGTAGCAGAAATTGGTACAACATCTGCGAACGTTCTCGGAAAGGTTGATGGCCTCCATGCACGCGAGTCCTCTCGATCCCGACAGCCGAAATCACCACTTGCAGTAGACAGACTTGACCGAACTCCGCTACAGATACGTTTCCGAAACGCACACAACTACACAGGGAACGATCCGGCAATATTGAAGTTGTTGGATTCAATGCTTCTTGAGCGCTTCCCAGCTGATGAGATTGAGTTTGGTCCCCGGATACAGTCTCCCACTCAGCGGCAACCTATCAAACACAAGGATGCGCAACGATTACCTATAGGTACTCCATGGCGCCCAGAAGGTACATTGGTTGCAAGTTTTGGCGAGCACACTGCCGCAGTGACCCGCATATTGGTGTCGCCTGACCAAGGCTTTTTCATCAGTGGGTCTGATGATGGAACTGTGAAGATCTGGGACACCTCACGTCTCGAGCGCAATATTACTCGTAGATCTCGACAGACATACAGATTGGGAGAAGACGTCAAAGTCACGAGTCTTGTCTTCGTTGAGCAAACATATTCCTTTGTTGCGACGGGTAATGATGGAAGTGTTCATGTGGTGCGCATAGACTATCTCCAAGACCACGATGGCAACGCTAAATTTGGCCGACCACGATTGCTTCGCGAATACCAGTTGGTCAAGGGGGATTTCGCCGTCTGGTCGGAACACTACAATGGCGACGGCAGATCTGTCCTGCTTTTGACTACCAATACGTCGAAGATTATTGCTCTCGACCTGCGGACTATGAACTTGCTCTACACTCTCCAGAATCCGCTGGACCACGGAACACCAACCTGCTTCTGCATCGACCGAAAAGCGCACTGGCTGCTGTTAGGAACATCGCACGGCGTGCTCGATCTGTGGGACCTTCGGTTCATGCTGCGTCTCAAGGCCTGGGTTTGCCGCGGTGCATCGCCTATTTACCGACTGTATCAAGTATATCTGCCAAAGACAAAAAAGACCAGACTATATATTGCTGGGGGAAGTGACCAAGCCGAAGTAACGGTTTGGGACTTTGAGAAGCATATTTGCAAAGAAGTATATCGTACTGGCTTATGCAAGGATGTCGGCAACAGGAGTATGACATTATTGGATCTTGACGAAGAGAGGTCAGGCGGAATGCTTGGACGCTTTGCTACAAGTGTTGAGCCTACCGCTAGTTCCACGGCAGATCGAGGCATCCGAGCGATTGCAGTACATACACAGACGACGGATGACAAGGGCGACCTGAAACACACATTTCTACTCACAGCAGGTCCAGACTGGAAAGTTCGGTATTGGGATACTAGTCGCGCTGACTGCTCACTTATAGTCAGCGGCCTTGAAGCTGATGAAGGAAAGCCGCAGTACGTTGTCTCCCAACCAAGCCCAGACACTGTCGTAGTCTCCGAGCAATTGCAGCAGACTATGACTCAGAACAGCAATGGAAGAGATAGTAAAGGGAACGCGTCCAGTAAGAAGGGACCCGGGAAACCATTGAGATCTAGTGCAATTGCTTCGCAGCAGCAACATCTTCTGAAAAGTCATATGGACTGTATTCTTGATGTGGCATTTATCGAACAACCATGTGGGATTATCATTTCAGCCGATCGGTCTGGGGTGATTCATATGTATACATAGCAACGTATCTGAGTATCAATACGCGTACTCTTCCCACCGTGGTGTGTTCAGTAGTGTGCAAGTGAAGGGCTAGAGGAGGGTAGTTGCAAGTTGTTGTGGTATTGTCTATAAACTGAGACTTGCTATAAAAATTTACAGGTCAACTCCAGACATACATTTGTCTACCAACATCTTTCCATTTAATTGACCTTGGCCTGAGACAAGCTGGTAATCTGATTAGCACCGTCCTGGATTTTGCCATTGGCCGCCTTGAAGCGGCACAGGACACCAGATCGCTCGGGAACGTTGTTGTCGCACACCAATTGGTTGTTTGCAACGCAGTTCAGGGCGCCATTGCCTAGTAGAAAACACGTTAGTATTGTCACAATGTTTAAACGAAGAAGGGCCGGCTATGGCTTTTGGTTACTTACATGCAGCTGGACCTCCAGGCACGCACTTGCCAGCGGCACCGTTGACAGTGCAAGCGTCCTGCTTCAAAGATTTGTTGGGGAAACAGCACGTGCCGTCAGGTGCCTGGCGAGTCTCAATGACGTTGCGGGGAGTGTTGCGGACGCCCTCGACATCGGTGATAGCGGCAGAGGAGATGGCGACGAGGCCAAAGAGAACGGCGGTGATGGAGAACTGCATCTTGGCGAAATGTGGTGTTTAGGGTGTGATTAATGGATTGGTGTTTTTGGAAAGTGTTGTAGAGAGAAAGTAATCCGCACAGCGGGAGAGAATAGACAAATGTAGAACTGAAGATTGACTTGGAAGACTGGCTTGAGAATCAGAAGGAGAAAGGAGTCTCTAGCCTCTTTATACTGTTCGAGGGCGGTAGCATTGACGATACTTAGCCATGTGTTGATATGCAGCTCTCAGGGCTGCTGTTCCTGAGGCAGTGCATCACGCACATCTCAAACGTTTGGCCCTGAGGGATCCACTGAATCGCGGAGCAACTCGCTCAAAACGATGCTTGTTGCGCGCGCATTATAGTTGCCAAGGCAAGTGTCGACAACTTTTGCCGGATGAGCGGCATTTCGTGTGCGATACTGAAGGGGAACTCTCCGTCTTGTATTTTGAGATTGATATTCTAAGTTTGTAGGTACATGCTACTACAACGTACGTGATAGACGCAAAACCCTATCGCTGTCCAATCTTGCATTGACAGCACGTGGGTGCAAGGCTTATCAAATCTTAATGGGCAAGCGAACCGCTGCATTGTTGCCCTGCATTTGTAACGCTTCCTACAAGCTCAAACATGAGCATCGACAATCCCTGAGACATAGGAATACCTGAGGATGAAACCAGGCCGATTTAGCCGGTCATGGCATGTAGCGCACAAGATTAGGCGCTGCTAGGCCCATTTCGCATCGCATGTCTCTGTAGTCCTTGTCCAACTCTCTGCTTATAGTAAGTTGAGACCTTTTATGGTGAATACTAGGTTTGCGTGGATGAAGAGATAGGATCTCTAATTGGCTCGAAGAATCTCTGCGCTCATTGGCCGTGCAGCTGTGCCAAGACGATGGAGATGTTCGTATTCAGATAGCGCCTAGTCACGTGACAAACACCATAATCTCCTCTGGATCCCCGAAAGCCCAACCAGCCAACCGAGCTGAAAGATCAGCCCTCTAAAGGCTCTGTAGGGGGAAACAATACACGCTCGTATAGCGTATCACGTTATGTATCTATCATGTTAGACTAGCAAAAAGAGAAACAGTAAGCTTATCTTACTATGCTGAAATTTCATATAATTCTCTCAACGAACGGCTGTAAAGACAAACTTTCCAGAGACTTTTGAGATGGTGTCTCTTCTTGTCTATCTATACAGTTTCTCTTCACCTGTATGATGTTTATGTAACCTGAATAGTATTTTTAGAGATGTGTTTTGATAAATCGACGCAGTATACGCCACTATGTCATGCTCCCGTCGCAACGTGCTCCACTTAGACTACAGGCATCTTTCTTGTACATATGGATTGGGTGTTCGCTCCTGCAGTCGTTCAAGCCTCAAGGGTACTAGTGCATTGCGCAGTCGTATGTCTACGTGTTGATCCTGCTGTTATATTACTAGACATACATAGTGTATATATTTCGATGCTGATGTGCTTGATTCTGTGGTCAACTGTGCCTCGCAGCCGCCATTGTGGGATCGGCGAAGACTTGGGTGTGTCAAGATTGTGTAAGTTCGGCATGAGGAACTTGCCAAGAGGCTTGGTCTACTGGTGCAAGAGATGACGGACGAGGAGGAGGATGAGATTTCAAATTCTTGTCGTGAGCGGCCAATGCGAAGCCATCATGTAAATACCAGCTTTGACAGCACAATTGCCGACAGTGGTGTCGGAGAGAGAAAGAGTGTGTGTGTGTTGGGTGATGTGAGGGGTAAAAGAAGTCCCCAGTCGCATTACCTCATTGAGCAGCGCACTAAGCATGGCAATTATCTCGTACCGCCGCTGCTATAAGATTGAGTGATTTACATGCGCATTCGTGCATATCGAACTTGTAGGGAAGAATCATTCTCGAATCAAAGTTTTGCGGCGCGTTTTCGTCGTCCCGTATTGGTAGTGTGCGTTTTTTTTCTTGGCTGCATTGACTGTAGTCAGAGAAGCCCAACGACCTGGCTCGGTTGTTCTGTTTGTTTCTCAAGCTGTGGAAGGATTCGGCTCAACTGCAGCAGAGGGGTGTCATGCCAAGCATAGTACCTTGTGTTATCCTTGGTGGATGCGGCGAGGATGGTCCCGTAGGCTTCCAGAATAGGATGTAGATTCGTCTTGTCGGCCAAGCCGAAATTCCCTCCGAATGCACCGACGAAGACGTCAGGTCCCTCATCGCAGAGCCTGCAGCTAGCTAGGTAATTTTCCCCGACTCCTTGTAGTAGTTCACAGATGGAGAGTAAGCAGTAGATGGACTACTAGATAGGGGTTAGCAGGATCAAGGGACCGGCTGAAGGGGCGGACGGCGGAGAAGCGGGGGGAGGGAAGATGCAGATGGTAAGTATGTCGGGGACCCAGTGGGTATTTTTGCAGGCTAGCAACACTCGGAGCACGACATGTTACCTAACGACAACAGGTGCCCCAGATTGAGCGTCTGGGGTCATTTTTATTTTACGTAACGGCAAGTCGTGTCCCCAGACTGACAAGGGCGGCATCGTCCGACTCTTTACATAACAGCAAAGCTGCCCCAGGTCGCAACCGCAGCACCGGGTCAGCCCAGGCGTCATGCACGCCTCGGCCATGCTTCGCCATGCTTCCAGAAGGCATACTACGTACGAGTAGTTGGCTGCGTAAGTATAGTAGAAGGCTGTCCCTTGACGCATTAGGAAGGTAGTTGGGTGTGGAGAAGGCCTGTTCTCCACCTGCATTTCTCCTGAGCCCGAGTCATCCTCCCGGCGATACACCTACCCTCGCATCCAGCATACTACCTTACTACTATACACTCGGACGTTGGTCTCCATGTTTCGCAATCTTCTCCGCGTCCAAGTACACCATGTGCACTGGGCGCCCATCGTAATCAATTCCTAGATAACATGCGAGCATTCGACTCTCTTTGAATTGTTGCTGATTTCAGTCCCAGCATAGTAGCCCATGATCCTGAATTCCCCAACTACTACATCCTTCTGAAGCGGACTTGTATACGTGCCAATGCGACTTGCCGTATCAACCAAACAATACATGACTGTCATCAACACTCAATTGCACCATCTTCTCGCGACTCCAACCTCCTATATACGCACGACTTATCTTTGCTATATCTACGCATACCCACGCATACTATCAATCTTGACACAATTCATCTGAAAATACAACAAGAATGACGTATTCGCCTTAATTGGCTATCTCACAAAGCATTGTTGAACGAGTCTGAACGGACCCTCGTCCCACAACGTCAGCCCAGAAATCCACAAAAGATAAGCGTCTATTTCACTTGGTCCGCAATGCTTGGTCCCTGTTCTGGTCCTGGCTCTCGTGGTTATCGTCGTAGTCGCTGTGTCGTCGTATCCAGCTGGTGGCGGGCGGCTATGTGATGAAGCTTGTCGACGCCACTTGGACATGGCATGCGATGCGCTCCTGGGCTCCCTCCCCCCCAGAGTGCTCTCGAACGCGCTCAACATGCAATGGTCGGGCGCTTGACAGTGGCGACATTGGACGATGCGAAAAAAATGGACTTGATTTACCGCGTTAGGCCTAGTCCGGCAAAACCTCGCTCTCCTAGTACCTGCACCAAATTTTTGCGGCTCAATGCGGCTCCAGACCCACTTGTCTCGGTGTTTCGCGGCCCCCGTCTGATTCGTCAGTCGTGACCATCCATCGCCAGTGTCCACCACCCCGAGGCGACTTACGTACCTGGGGAAACAACGCGCGCAGGCGCGCCGTGGGCGACCTCCACATCGTTCCTAGGTCTGTGCCAGCCGATGTCGGTCGGCCCGACGATTTCTGCATAAAGTGCGTACCGTCGTCCTTCGAGGCAATCCTCATCCTCGCGTGCCGTCTTTACTTGATACCCCGGATCACACATCACAACACCATGGGCCTCTTCAATGACAAGAAGGTCGACGACACCGAGTACGGTAGCCAGCTCAAGGCCGAGGAAACAAACCCCCAGGGTCAGACCGATGCCGTCTTTGGCGAAATCGTCGAGGGAGGACCCAACTACCGCAGCGTATGTTTCCATCTTATTGCCCTTCTTCCTCAATCCATACTGACGCCCAGTAGGTCAGCTGGTGGGGGTCGTCCATCATCATGATGAAGACACAAATCGGTCTCGGTGTGCTGTCCATCCCCGCCGCTTTCGATGCCCTGGGCCTCATTCCGGGTGTCATCTCACTGATTGCCATTGGCTTGATCACCCTGTGGTCTGGCTACATGGTCGGCACATTCAAGATGCGTCACCCCGAGACGTACGGCATCGAGGATGTGGGGCAGAAGTTGTTTGGGCGCGCAGGCCGAGAGGTGCTCGGTCTGGCTTTCGCTTTATGTGGGTCCTTACCTTATGGAAACATGGTTCTCCAGAACCCCAGAGTTGAC